CCGCCGAGTCTCGGGTCGGGTCCAGGTCCATTGCCACCCCTACTTCCAATGCTGATCATACAGTTTGTGATTAACCTTTGTGGGAGATTCTGTTGGTTGGGCTCCAAGTATTCCGGTGTTGTTCAGGATATCAAGAGTGTACTTCCTTTAAGACAAAAAAATTCCTTTTTTGGACCTAGACACGTTTATTCCAAGGAAGCATCTCAATGGACCAAGATCTGATCCTTGATGTCAAAAACACCTCCAGGAAATCTTTCACTCTTTGAATCTTGTGCTCATTATTTCCTGTGAGCACAATATCATCCACATACACTATCAATATTGTCGCGGAACAATATTCTCTTTTAACAAATACAAAATGGTCTGAAACACTCCTCTAAAATCCAAAACTGACATATTGCCATACTGAATTTTCGAACCAAGCTCGGTTTGACTGTTGTAGTCCATATATAGCTTTCCTTAACTTGCGGACATTCCCAAGTGGTAATACCATAAATACTTCCTCTTGCACATCTCCATGGAGTAAGGCATTCTTCACCTGTAATTGGTAGAGTGGCCATTTCCTATTTACTCCAATAGATAAAAGTACCCTTACTGATTTTAATTTTTGCTACAGGTGCTATAGGAGCAAAAGTCTCCTTATAGTCAACCCCATATGCTTATGTAAAACACTAAGCCACCGGAAAAGCTTTATATCTTTCAATCAAACCATCTGGTTTGTGCTTCGGGGTATACACCCTCTTGAATCCTACCACATGTCTTTCTGGCCAATCAGTAACATCCCAAGTTTGTTACTTCTTTAAAACAATCATTTTCTCAGTCATGGCTGCTTTCGATTGTGAGAGCCATGGATCTACAACATTGGTAGGAATCAGAATAGAGGAAGTAGAGCGAAGGTATTCATGAAAAGATGGTGAAAGTGAACCATAGGAAAAAAAACTTACTGATTGGATAAGAAGTACAAGTCCTTTTTTATCTTCTCATGGCAATAGGTAAATTGAGTTGAGAGGGTATAGGGGTAGAAATAGAAGTACCTCGCGAGTCAACTTGGAGTTGATCGTTTACATAGGACTTTCCCTTGTTCTTTTTTCTGGTGTACATGTTCAGTTGTTTCTCAGTAGATTCCACTTGTTCCTTGATTGGATTAGTGGAATTATCTGTGATCATTGGAAGAGGAATAGGATTATCGGGTGGCATTGTGGATATCGAATCTCTCTTGGAAGAAAAATATGGTATATTCTCGAAGAATGTAACATCTTTTGAGAGATATTTCCTTTTACTTAACTGGCATTAACATTTGCATCCTTTATGAGAGTTTGATTATTCTAGCAACACACATCTAGTAGATTGGGGTCCTAACATATTCCTAGTTGGCCCCAGGGTATGCCCAAAGCAGATACAACTGAAGGTTTTTGGTAGAAGAGAAAACAGAAGGAGTGCATTATGGAGAAGTTTGAAAGGATAAGCACCGTGGAGAACAGGGATAGGCATCCTATTGATCATATAGGCAGCATCAAAAATTGATTCATCCCAATATGTCTTAGAATCTTCATTCCTATTAAGATGCCTCTAACCACTTCTAACAAGTGTCCATTTTTCCATTCTGCCACACCATTCTGTTTTGGTGTATAGGAACATGATATTTAAGTTTCTACACCATGTTCAATAAAATAATCCTTTAATCCATTGTCTGGATACTCTTCTACATTATTAGAACGAAAAAATTTTATTTGGGTTTCTAACTACGTCAGAACCATTTTATGAAATATTTTAACCATTGAGAGTACACCATCTCTACTTTTCATAAGATAGATCCAAGTATAACGAGAGTAGTCATCAATGAATGAGATAGAATACCAATATCAAAATACAAAAATAACTGTAGCAGGCCCCAAACATCAGAGTGACCAAGATGAAATGGCTTGAGAACTTTTATCTTCATTAGAAGAAAAAGAGGTTCTACAATGTTTGGATAATTGACAGATCTTACATTGTAATTGAGGGATATTTTAAGAAGCAAAGTTATCTGAAAACAATAATTTTAAAAATTTCAGAGATATGTGGCCTAGGGTGTGCCCAAGAATATTTATGACTTTTAGACTCAAAATTGACAGCAATAGAAGTGCATCCCATGTTGTACAGGTAAAGTGCCATTGTCTTCACGACTACCACCAATCACCTTCCTGGTTTTCAGGTCGTGAAAAATGCAATGTGAGGGAAAGATGTGACACTAAAATTTATTTTTTGTACGACTGTTGACAGAAAAGATTGGAAGGAAAAGAAGGCACATGTATTATAGAGATTAGAGACTAAGAAAAAGGATGATGAAAGTTTATATGTTTCACTCTCAAAGGCACTGGTCATGGATCCATCAGCAAGTTTAATTTCACTAGAAGTAGGAGAAAAGGACAAGAAACCAACTTTCTTACTGGCTATATGATCAATAGCCCTAAATCAATAACCCAAGCTGTAGAAGACATAGAGTTGGAGACACGGTTTGTAGATGCATATGTACTTGACTGCTCTACCTGTGTCTTAGAGTCGAGTAAGCCTTGAGAGCAATCAACTGGTACTGTAAATCTTTGATGGCATATCGTTTGGATCGGATACATTGGGTTGTGTGGCCGAAGTTTCCTCCCCTTCACTCGGTACGATATGGGCACTTGCATTTCTTGGTTTCGGTCTCAAGTGTGGATGCAAATCCCAGCAGTGCTCATAGGTGTGTCTCTTCCCATAATGGTAGCATTTGAGTTTCTCCTTTTCGGCCATAGAAAGTGGGGCATGATTTGCTCCTTTCATATCTGTTCTTCCTTGCTTGAAACTTCTAAGGGCTAATCATTTATGGTGGAGGCTTGAGTTTTCTCCTTCCCTTTCTACTGGCCTCCCACATTACATTATAATAGGCTGTTTCAAGAGAGGAGAATTTGTCATTTCCTAGAACTTGTTCAAAGTCAAAATTCAAAATTTAGGCCTGCTAAGAACTCAAAGATCCTTCGTTGCTTGTCTTGTTTCTTAATGTCATCAATGGAGGGATGAAGAGGTTGATAGTGGTCTAGTTCTTCCCACTTATGCCTTAGTGTCCTGAACTACTCTTCCACAGTCGTTTCCTCTTGCTGCAAGTTCAATATTTCGTGATGCAATTGATAAATTTTAACCATACCATCTCGATGTGAGCATGTCTGGGCTACTGCCTCCCATACTTCCTTTGTTGTTTTAAGAAACAACAATCCCCTTCTGATACTTGGTTGCATGGTTGAAGAAGCCATGCCATTACTATCAAATTCTTACTTTCCCATTCATCATGGGATGGATCATGTCTGGGAGGCTCTTTCACCTTTCTTGTGATATAATCCAATTCTATTCGGCTTCCTATGAATATTTTGGCAGATTGAGACCATTCTAAGTAGTTTGTCCCATCTAGCTTAACTGTAGTGATCAGCAACCCTGGGTGGTCACGTTGACTGCTTCCCAAGGAAATATTGTGCTTGATTTATGATATTTTTCTTCTCCCTCTACCTCGAAACCGTAAATCCTTATCCAAGATACTAATTCCTTAGTTTCAAAGCTTGCAAATATTCCCCCCCCCCCCCCTTTTTTTGGTTTGTTTGGCTGAGAAGGGTATGGAATTTATTGATGTGATTCTTGTGTGGGATAAAAAAGGATGTAAGGTCTATGGTTTTTGCTGGAAATGGCAAGAGTTCGGGATAAAACTTATTGGTAAAGAAAAGCAAGATGATTTTGTTGAAACTATGTGTTTTCTGATACATCACAGTTTCAAGCCTAAGAAGGAAGAAAAAACATAATTCTAGGGTTGCTGGAAATAGTGGATATCCTAGGGCAAGGCCTGCTCTGATATCATGTTAAGATTGAGAGAGAAGAGAAGAGAGGGAAAGTAATATTCTAGCACAAAATATATATGGACCTGTTATGGGAGTTACGACTTTGGTCAACATGCATAGGAGTTACAGCAGGAAGATTTTCCAAATATAGTAGAACTAAAATATCATACAAATTTGGCACATATTAAGTCTCCTTAAGTGCTTGGATCTTTGGTCAATGTGCATTGATACCGCATGAAAATCTCTGTTATGGGCATGAGACCCATAATGGTGCATTAAAGGGAAACACCAAAAACAAACACACACACACACACGCAAACCCCCTCCTTTTTTTTTTTGTTGAATCCCATCTCTGGTCTTTCCCCCATGAAAAAAGTAGGCTTATAAGTGACTAGGATGGTGGATATGCAAATGTAAGATTTGGTGCCAGCTGAGCCTTTTACTTTTTTTCAACTTTGTTCCTTGATTTCACTTCCATGCCCCATCTGTTGAAAATCCATTTTGTTGTTGCTTACTCCTGGATCCACTACCTGTGATTGCAAAAGTGGCTGGAATTAAGATAGTTCTGATTAGGGAACTTCCTCTTAGAGGCAGAGTAAGAACGCATGGTTATCAATTATATTTTGACTTCTTTCTTAGAGCTGTAGTTGCTGCAAATTTAGTGTTGTTACAGTCATGATTATAGAGGGTTTGACTCTCCCATGCATGCATGCTTTAATGGTTATTCAATTTATAGAGTAGCTTTGTCCTTGCTGTGTTTGTTTACTGTTTCATTTTTTTAATACACTTCTTATGGAACTCTTCCACTGCATTAACATGCATGGCCTCACCTTCTCATCCTGTCATTACTGGGTGATTGGCTATGACAAAACATCACACAATATTGTTGGATTTACAAACTTGGTTTGTTCTATTTAAGGTTTTGAAGCAAAACCAAAATTACTAGCTGAAAATTTGGTTTATTTTATTTCGACTATATGGTCAATTCCTTATAGATCTTTGTTTGAGAAGTTACCAATTCTACCTATTATTTCCATTCCAAAGTGTATTTGTGGCGAGATTCATTGTTAGGTTTTATCATGTCCTTTGCAGAATGTTCAAAAGTTTTAGCACTGTTGTTTAATTGATACTGTGTCTTGTTGATATGCTTGAACTTTACAGAAAATAATGCTTCAGGAAGGAATGGCTAGACTGGCCATACGAAGTCTTACTGGAAACTTGGAAAAGGAGAAAGAATATGCCCTGAAGTTGTTATCTGAATTCTCATGTGATGAAGATTATCGTAGAAAAATAGCATCTGAGAAAGGTGCTCTTGTTCTTTTGACAACTATGGCTGGAAATTTGGAGCATCCTGCTTTAGCTAATCTGGCAGAAATGACACTACAGAATTTGGAGAAAGTAGAGGAGAATGTTCCACAATTAGCAGCAGCTGGAAGATTTCAACCATTACTAGTTCGCCTTTGTGAAGGTATTCTTAAAATTTTTTATGAGCTTACTTGTTGACATGTAGAGTAGAAATCTAATACTGTAAGAATCTGTCTTCCTCCTTTGGGAGATGCAGTTGAATCGAGTGAAAGATTACACAGCTTGGGCTAGGAACTCGTCCCATCGGCTTGCCAAGTGACTTGGCATGTCGGATTTGACTTGCCCTGGTCCGCGTTGAGCTTTACAAAGGTGCCGAAAACGAAAAAAGTATTGCAAAAAATAAAAAATATATAAGACATGGAATGGGAAAATCCAAAAAAAAATAATAAAATAGAATATATAAGGGGTGTGGTTTGTATAAGGCCGGGGCCCTAAACAATCAAAGTAAGGCTCACCTTCAAATAGTGTTGGAAGACGTTTCAATACTGGAAATCCTTGTGTTTACTTGAAATTTTATTTTCATCTCTAATTATAACATTTAAAGTTTCGAAAATAGTGTAGATTGAGCAGATCTATGAACACTTGAAAAACTTGAAAATTGACGGTCTGAAAATGGATTACTGGATGGACTATTTCCAAGACTTGAAATCAATTTTTTCTCATGTCTATACATCTTGAGGTCAAGGTGATCAATTTGAGGATTTTTGGACATTGAAACAACTACTTTTAGTGAATTTTTGATGTGCGCCTTAATTTGATTGTTTAGGGCCTTGCCCTTATATAAACGTTTTCCATATATAAAACATGGAATAGGAAAAACAATTGATTTTATGGGCTTGAAAAAAATAGGAAAATCCAAGGGAAAAAATTAATCATAGAAACATAAAAAATTGTAAAAAGCATAAGAAATTTGTACAAAGTTAAAAATCTAAATCAATTATAATTTATTTAGTCAAGACTAAATCAATTTTGTGAATTTAAATTGAAAAAAAATGAAACTTAACAAAAATTTCAAGGCCGCGCTGTGGATAGCCCATCTTACTCTATCAATTTAAGGTTAATTTTATCAAAAAAATAAAAATTTCAAGGCCAGTCCCTCGATCTATGCTCTTGACATGAATTGATTATTCAAATCCTCATAAAAGCTTCCTCATACAACCCATGTCGAAACCCTTAGAACTAGATTTAGGTTTTGAGTTTGGATCTAGTTGATTCAAACTCTTGAAGAATTTGGATGAAATAGTGAATCCGAATTTGAATTCTTTCAAATCCTATATTTTTTTGTCTTTTTTTGTGAGAACAGCCCTATGGTTGGATGAAGAACCTGAAAATAGGCTTGGGGAACTAATTCATAGAAGATTGACTATACATTGCATAGGAATTATAAATTTTAGAAATCAGGCAAAACCTTGACCCAAATCTTCTATTTCCAAATCCATCAAACTGGATTTTTTTATGGAATAGTGTTCGGTGAGTCGGCCAACTCACACTATTTTTGTGTGGCCTCCCTACAAAATATATCTGAAAGATGTATTTTCGATTCAAAATTTTAGGTTTTGATAATCTCAACCATGGCAATGATCTAAATTTGGAATTTTTCTTTTTCAAAAAATATAAATGTTATTTTTTAATTCCTTTCTTCACCTTCCATTTTAACTTTTAGTGGATGTAACATTTTTTTACATCGAGATGGACATTAGATAGACAAGGGACTGCATGCTAATAGGTGAGTCGGCTGACTCACCAAAAAAAAAAAAACCCCTCCCACCCCCACACAAACAAAACCAATTAAACTCTTTCCTACGCAACACTCAGGCAGTTCGTGCACGATATTCGGGCAAATATTGTGGTGATTCCCGATGTACTCTAACACTTTGGCTGATCAGCCCGAGTTTCACAATACTTGGGGAGTCTCCGCCATACTTGCCTAAGTACTGTACAATGTATATTTATGTACCGCATTCCAGGTTCAGCAGGCCAAGGCCTAGTGACTTGCCCGTGTCTGATTCCACTGGGGGAAATTTTCTTAAACTAGTTAAATAAGAGCACATTTGATCTTGCATTATCGTGTAAGTTGAATTGAAAGTTCAAAGCACACTTGTTTGGGTAATGTGTAGAAAATAAAATCCTTATTGTCTTGGAAAATGAAAAGTAGAGATCTGTTATGGGATCGTTGCAACCATAATGATCTAATTATTTGTCAAAAGGAACTAACCCATGTTTTTACGTTGTATGTATAATCTATTGTGCAATTGCAAGTTAGATATCTCGACTTTATTAATGCAGTACCTGTAGCATATATTTTGATTCTTCCTCCACTCACCTCCACGGGCGAGTGGAGTCTACTACACTCTTTTGTGGCTTGTGTAGTATACTATACTATAGGTCATTCGGAAGGGCTCAAATCCATGTTAGATAATAAAATTAATTTTTAAAGAAAGAAAGTGAAAGTGGCATGATGCATCAAAAAATTTCAGTGGAAGCCACCTAGACCCTTGGGGCAAATACACTGGCACTGTTGCATCCCTTCATCATTCATTGGCTCCATTGGTTGCAATTGACTGAAATCATAGTCAATGATCACCAAAGTTTTTCCATTGATTCTAAATGTCATGCAGCCTAATATATTGAAAAAAAAAAAGAGACAAAAAAAAAAAGGGCGGCCTAAAGTATACTCATCCGAGCCGCATGAACATGTACATGGGGAATCCGAGGATTTTCACCTTGTTGAAGATTTGGTGGTGCTACCCGAAGACTTGAATGAATATATCATGAAATGTCAAGCAATTAAACATGTTGTTGGTGCACGTAGAGAATGTGTATAAGCAAGATAATGATTCAAGGATCTTTCAATTTGAAAAACTGAATGTTTTGGCAAATGCAAAACAATACTTTCTGCAGGAGCATTGGCCTTCCCTTTAAGACCTTATTCACTTATGTCTAGAGAATCAATGGACAAATGTGTGACATCATAAGAGAGAATCACAAATATTGACATAATTACGCTTACTCATGAGGAGGCTTGAATATGCAACAATACACTTACCATTACAATGAGGTCTTCAATGTTATATGATAGCCTCTAAATTCAGAAAGAGTCTCTAAAATATTATTGTTTTCTTTGGGTAAGAAAACAATATCAGTATTGAACGTTGTTATGACTTTATCGACTTCTGGGTCACAGGCACCGAGGATGTTAAAATAGCAATGGCATCAGTGGTTGGAACAATGACCCTGGCGAATAATGGAAAAGAGCATGTTGCAAGACAAGGTTCTAAAGTTCTAATTAGAATGCTTTCTTCGAAACCTGATGCTAGAATTTCAAGCCTCCAAGCTCTATACAATCTTTCAGGGTTGGATGATAATGCAACCATACTTGTTGATGCTGGTGTGCTTCCCCCGCTGATAGATATTCTGTTTAAAGAGCACAAGGCTGTTAATTCCACGTTCACTGATGTGCAGGATTTGGCATCAGCTACTTTAGCACACGTTGTCATGAAGGCGGGACATTGGGAGTTAGCATCTGTGGATAGGGATAGACATTCAATGCAATCAGAATTCATTATCCATGGTCTTCTGCGTCTTATTTCAGATGTTAGTCCTAACTGTCAATTGAATCTTCTCCAGATTCTTTATGGCATTGCGTCCTCACCACAGGCTGCAGGTATGGTTTTCATCAAATCCAAATAAAATGGAAAAATCATATTTTATATTGGTTGCTCTTCCATCATGTTCATCACTATCCAATGATATAATGTACAATTATGTGAAGTGCGTGGGACCACCATTAGAAACATATCTTATTCTGGTGTGTCCTGCATCTAACTCTCACCATCACCATTTATCATTTCACTGGATGATGTTGACCATGATAAACAACTTTGTCCTATAATCCTTTGAACTATAATATCCATTCCTTATTATTCAACTTTGTGCTTTGAATCTGCTGCATCAAGATTTATGTGGGATAACTAAACTAACTTTTCAATGTTCATCTGTTTCCTTATTTTTAGGAAAAATATATAATAAGACGTACAAGAAGGTCTAGATCACCCTTAGCTGTTAGATTTAAAATCAGACGGTTGGAGGTGTGCTTTTTGCCATGCTCAAAGTTCCAAAGAATTTTTCTCCTAACATGTAGTACACCCTCAGCAGCCTGGTTTCACATTTAATGGCTAGGAATGGTTGTATATACAATACTGTCTTATAGTATACAATCCCTTTTCTATAGGATCTTTTCATATTTATCTTTTTACTTCCTCTGGGAACAGTTTCTGGTGTACAATGAAGGGAACATACAAGTGTGAAAGTGTGAATAATAAAGTACCTTTACATAAAACGCTGGGGCATTCTGTGAATGAAAGGTTCCTGGGTGCTACAGATGCTACGTATTAACTAAATCTATGTAATTAGGGGCCTTAGGTATAAATTATAAACTTTTCGAATGTATGAGGGCACTGACATTACACCGCTTCAATGCATAAGAGAGACAATAATGGTAAAGGTGCTGAATTTTTCTGTTTCAAGTTCCTGGTGCGATCTAACTTTGGACTAATACAAAGCATTGACTTTTGAATCCCTTCAACTATTGTTTCTCTGTTCAAAAACTTTATGAAGTTCCATTGAACATAAGCTCTTTTTGAGGAAGTCCTAAATGGTTTCAAAAAAAGGTTCTTGCTCGAGTGCTGCCTGTCACAATTGCAGAGTTGACTTCAGTAGATTCCTGACTTCATTTTTCAATTTCTCACTTATAACTGGCTGCTGATCTTTTGTGATTATTTCCTTTTCTTTTTCCTCAGTTTTGCTTATCCTGTTTTTCACTTGCAAATGGTTTACCTTTACCTTTTTTTTCCGCTCCAATAAACAATGGATATGAGTCTGTGTCCTGGGGGCTCCTTAAATATGTGCTTTATGAAATATGCTTACCTAACTTGCCGAGATAGATCATACTGAATGAGTACCAGATGCTTACAAGCTCTCTCTCTCTCTCTCTCTCTCTCTCTCTCTCTCTCTGCGCCCCCAAAACCCCCCTTCTCTCTCTCTCCCTCTCCTTGCAGAATCTGCAGCCACCTCTATAAAGAGTGGAAACGGGATCTCAATCATCACTCCTTTTCTCGAACACCAAGAGATTGAGCATCGAATATCTGCTTTTAGGCTCATAAGTATCCTATCACGAAGACTGGGTCAAGCTCTGTCAGATGAGCTCAGAGGCACCAACAAATTAGCACTGCTCAAAAACACACTAGTGGACTCAAATAACACAACAGAGGAGAGTTCAGAAGCTGCTTACATTCTATCCAACCTCACCATTTCTGATGATGAAGTCAAGACAGTTCTTGGAACCAGTCTCATCAGGTGGATCATTTCAAGACTTAAAGATCAAAAGAGAAGTGCATCGGGAAGAGGTTCGAGACCCTCTTCAAACATGGCAGAAGGCCTTATGGGCCTCTTGCTTCACTTCACGAAGAGCACTGACCCATCAATTCTGGACGCAATTCAAGAAAACCGATTAATGGGTGTTCTTTTGGGGTACGTTAGCGTTTCTCCTAACCCAAGAGTAAAGAAACGAGCCACAATTGGGTTGATGCACTTGTCACAATCTTTGCGAGCACGAGGCATGGCCAAAGACTCGGAACCCCAGCCTCCCAGTGGCCTGTGTTCTTCCTTGATGTTTATATGTGGCAAGCCACCACTAGTGGCCCCACCTTGTCTAGTGCACTATGCTTCTTGTGAGGAGGATAGCCAGTTTTGCTTGTTGAAAGCCAATGCCATTAAACCTTTAGTTGAGATTCTAGGTGATGAGGACACAAGTGTTCAAATAGCAGCAGTGGAGGCTTTGTCCACCTTGCTTTCTAACCAAGATACTCTCAAAGGAGCAGTTGATGTGCTTGACAAGTATGGCGTTTTGGAAGCTGTGATAGACCTCTTTGTGGAAGTGAGGCCTGGTGAGCTTCAAGAGAAGGTGGTTTGGATGGTCGATAAGATCATAAGAGTGGACCACTATGCACAGAGTTACTCGGTTGATCAGAGGTTAGTGAAGGCTTTGGTTGAAGCATTGAAATATGGGAATGCTACCACAAAAAGGCTTGCACAAGAAGTTCTTACAAACCTCAAGCAGTTGTCAGGGGTTGGTGGGAGGAATTCGAATCAAAGTCAAGGACGTCGTGATTACCGATAATCAGATAGCAGCATGTCATTCCATGGCCAATTCATTGTGTTAGTATCGACTCATTATCAAATCCAAGTCCCGCTGCTAGCAGTAACTTATTAGATGCTTGTCTTTCCTGGCCAATTCATTGTGTTAAATTAATGTACTCTTTTGTGTTTTCAACACGTTTTGTCATTGTTATATAGGAGTGAATGAACCGGCCATCAAATGAGGTTGGTGGTCCTCTGTTTTCCCCTTTGTTCTTGGGTGGATAAGCTGAGTTTAAGGTTGGGTTTGCTTTTTGCCACCTCTCCATTTCTTGTTTCTTTTTGGGGTATTAAGTTTCGCTTTCTATTGACGTTGTATGATTGTAATAATGTTCATGACCAATTTGTATAAAGAGTTCAAAGTTGAGTATGGAGCATTTTGTGTTAAATAAGTTTAAAGGTTCGGGATTTCGGATTATGATGCCGACCATTTTGGTAGTGAGAGAAGCATCTGTTACGAAAGCCCGAACATGTGCAAAAGTAATCCTAATCCCTGCGTGTATTTTATGGGAGGACCACAATACAAGCAACCTGATTGGTGTAATTTAAAAGAACCACATGTATTTTATCAGTACTGGGATGAGTGATCAATTAGGAAGCTCTTACAATGCATCCGTACTAAAAACAAGACGAGAGAGACCAAAGAAACAAAATTTGTGGGATTACCTTGTCTGTTCTTGAGGAATTATTCTCATGTGCCTTGCCCTTGATATGGACAATTAATTATGGGTGTGGTGTGGTGAGATCAAAAGGAAAGTTTACATTACTTGTGATTTGTGAAAGACTGGTTTACCCTTTGCCTCTGAAATTTTTAATCGTAAATTTTTAAGTCCAAACTCTTGAGTACTTTGTTTCCGGCTAACATGTCGAGAATATCATCATCGGGTTGAAGCGATTTTATTTGTTCCCTTACTATAGAGGTGCATTCCGTCCTTTTCTGGGGTCAACAACGAAACAAAAGTACGGCAATGCAAGAGCTCATACTTACTCGAATTAGCCCTTTTTAAGTCCTGAAGTAGTCGATTGAGCTCTTTGTGCCCTTTTGAGCTTAATTCGATTAGGGATTGTCTACAAAGAGATCATTTATCTTTTGTATATAGAGGTAACAATTATTCTTGTCCCTCAAATTTCAAAATAGGTGATGGTAAGAGTGTCATTGAATAGACACAAAATTAAAAAAAAAAAAATTTGGATTTTGTGATTCACTTCAAACCATTCAATTTGACGTCTAATGAATTGGAATGGTTGTGACCTCTATGTACAAAAGATAAATAGTCTCTTTATAGACAATCTCATACAATATGCTGCTCTTTATAGTGTCCAAACACTTCTTACAAAGGGATGGAAAAAGAAATATTTACAAACAGCAAAAATTTCTTTCTCAAATTCTCCAATCTTCTTCATTAAAAGTCAACCTTACAAAGAAAAAGAAAGACTTAGTAGTTCTGCAAATTTTGGTGTATCAATACAGTGGTAAATTTTATTCTGCAAAATGCTGTTGCATTTGAGACACTTTAGCAGTTGTAGAATGAGAAAGTATGCTATGATCCATAGGACACCTAGACAGAATGGTCATGAGTCTCAACACCGTCTTATTAATATATGGATGACGATGGAGAGAGTACGAGAACTATGGAACATCACTAGGCAAAGTGATGGGCCCCACTTTGTCTATAGTCATATGAGTCGCAGCTGTAGGCCCCACTTCTTTATAGTCACGTGCATCGCAGTATACTTTGACAAATTTTACTGCCTCCATGAAAATCGTTAAAGGGTGACTAAGACCGAGTAATCGGTCCTAGCCCGTGCTGATTACCGAGTCCAATGGCAACTCGGCCAATTAATACTCACTACTGTAGCGGGTTAAACAAATTATAAAAAGTCCATAAAGAATAGGAAATGCATGCTTAAGCAAATCCCTTCAAAATGATATTAAAAAAGTAATAAAAAAATATATTTTAAAAAATCAACTTCTGATCGAGGGTGTTTTGGTAATAATCTAAAAAAATGTAAAGATAAGTATCTACCGTCAAAACATTTTTCAATCTTTGTCAAAATGCTAAAAAATATATTCCAAATAAATTTATTTGTACATAAAAACAAGTCAACATCATTACTTTATTGGCCCATTTCCTCAACTGTAATGGGTTTTGGCCGACTGTAGTACCTTGTCCTTGAGATTTTTCAAGTTTCACCAATGGAATCATGCCAAATATTTGAACGTTACTTGCTTTGTGGTTCAGATTTTTGAAGTTGGTTATTTCAACCCTCTATGTTAGTCAATGTCCCCATTCCATATGTCATATTCATTTGATTTTCATATTTTACCATACCTTCTCACCATTCCATATTTTCTATTCATTTTGATATTAATATTAATATTTTACCATGCATCTTCTCATGTTGGACCATTACACCTTTTCAACATGTTTCCTTGCACGAGTTAAACAATTTTCATCTTAGAAGACAGAAAGACAAAACCCCCACTTTCCAAACTCAAGAAGAGGAAAAGATGCATTTTTTAGCATTTTTGGCTTCCATATTTTATTCAACTTCAGTTCCGTGATTAAGTTTTTATATTTAGCAAAGTGCACAGTCCATCCATGCGCACAAGATACACATCCCACTCCCAATTTACAATGGAAGCCGAGTCAATGAAATCTTTCTCTCTCTCTCTCTCTCTATATATATATATATATATATATGA